CTGCTGACAGAGCCTGTATTTTTTTCGTTCCTTGTAATTAATTACAGGAGAAAATTCAAAATATCTGACTGGAACTTTTTGTTTGGTGTGAAATGTAATACAATTTTATAGACTTTTTTTTAAACTGAAAGCACTCCTTTCACTGCTGTAGAGACAGGGGAAAGGCAAATTCTTGTAAGAAGCCAGAGCAGACCCACACAGAAAAAGCAGGTGTAACAGATGAGCAGCCACTAGCCACCAGGTTGCCAATTTTGCTTTGGGCAGGCCAAAGAGGAGCTACCAGGAGTGGGCTGCTTCTCTGAGGCCTACCTCCCACTTAGTCACCTGGAAGTTTTATGGTTATTAATGCAGCCTTCAGCAACACTAACTTTTACGAGTAGCCCCTTAACATTTTTTTGCAGAGGCAGAGCTCAGTATCAGCCAACACCCAACAGTGACAGATCCAGCTCGTTTTCTTTGTAATTGTGGCTTACTTGAGAGGTTATCAAGCTGGTGGGAAAGTCAAGAATTCTTCCGAGTAGGATCAGTGGGATTAAGGGCAGAGACCTGCAGCACTTCCCCTGCTACCAGATTTGACACAGCACCCGATCTTTCCTTCAGTCAGGACAGGGCAAAGGCTACACAAAGGCAGCAGTGCAAAAGGAACCGAGGAGGAAGTGTATAGGAGCACCTGGTTTTGAACTCGGGTTTTCAGATCCTTTAAAGCAGTACTTGTAGGAATCTCACATGTCTCCAATAAGACTTCTAGTCTGTAACCTCTTTTAATGGAAGACAATGTGGCAACTGCACATAAAACCAAACATCCATCACTATTCTCTCTAGGTATTAAGCAGGTAAAGTCAACATCCTCAACAACAATTACCAAAAAGAGTTTGAAACTCTACTCTTTCCAGGTTCTCAGATACCACATTGGGGTTTTGAATCATCCTGCTAAAAGTCTGGTTTTGCTTAATCTGCAGGGCTGATGTATACCAGTTGAAATGCTCATCAGAAGCTCTTACTACTGGGCATACAAAATTAGGCAACCAATGGGATCTGGGTTTAGAATTCATTTCTGTCTTGAATCTTTTTGTCTAACCTTTGCCTCCTTTCTCTGGAGTCTGTCTTCTCTTTCCAACAAAGAAAACAGTGGGTTTTTTCTTGGTAGTGGGTATCTGAGTAACTTCACTTAGATTTGTCTACTGAATTTAAGTGGATGTATTTCTACAGTTCTAGGCTACCACGTGTGGTCCATAGAATGGACTGTGTGAGCTACTTTATTAGAACCTGTCTGCTCTGAAGGCCAGCAGCATCCAAGATGACTTCTGGAAAACATATCTGAAAGCCAGATGTGTTTGCTCTAATCTGTCTGGCTATTTCCTTTAGCAAAGGGAATCCTCAGTGCTGTTGGCTGCTCAAGTAAGCTCCCTCTGAAAAGGAAAGCTTCCTGCAGCCCAGTCTAATGGAAAATACGGAGCAACAGCAGTGCACCCTGCTCCAACCAGTCTCCCTCACCAAGCAACCAAACCAGGCACTGTGGAATAATCCACATTGTTTGAGTATTGAGCCTCTTCAAGGCTCTTTAAAAACAATTTCTTTGTATGCCCTGTGCTGCAAAGAACATTTCAAAATAACTGAGTAGGAAATGACCCCAGCTCATCAATTTCTCCTCTCTCCCAGGATTTTTTTTACTCTTCTGCTTTTCTGATACTGTATTTTATACTTCCTCCATAAGATACTAGGGGTTTGTTCTTGTTTGGTTTTTATAATGTCTCTAGTAAAAGCATCACAGGTAAAAAAAAAAACAAACAAAAAAACCAACAACAAATGGACATCAAAAGAGTATGCCTGACAGATAAAAAAATACCTTTCTCTATTCCAGACCAATTTACCTTATATACTTAGAAATATAAACATGTAGAATGTAAATGCATTTTCTGACAGCCTCCCCACTAATAAATCAATAATCTAAGCTATGCAGAGGCAGAAAAATATATCTTTAAAGAAAACTAGACATTGGACAGAATTATAATACACTAGTCTACATGACATACTCATCTTCAATTATTAAACCCTGGCAAGTATTTCTATTGGAAAAAACCCTACACTTGAAATAGATGTTGAAGAGAGTGTTTCTAGCACTGATAAATAAAAGCATAATTATACTATAAGTTCAGTGCCAAAATAGAAATTGCACATGTAGCGTTTCCTATTTTGAATATAAATAGAATTAATGTTATTTTGTTAGGAACCCAGGCTCTACTTGCTGTGTCCTGGGCATAAAGCAAAAATGCCTGCCATGAAAAGTTCATGATCTCAAGCTTTAATGCTGACTTAGTTATTTGTTTCTGGCCTAGGATATTACACTGCTTTTGGCTGTGATAGAGTTAATTTTCTTCTTTGTAGTTTGTATGGTGCTGTTTTGGATTTGTGCTGAAAACAGTGTTGATGTTTTTGTTACTGTGGAGCAGTGCTTACACAGAGCCAAGGCCTTTTCTGCTCCTCACCCCACACCACCAACGAGTAGGCTGGGGGTGCACAAGGAGTTGGGAGGGGACACAGCTGGGACAGCTGACCCCAACTGACCAAAGGGATATCCCATACCATATGATGTCATGCTCAGCATATAAAGATGGGAGAAGAAGTAGGAAGGGGGGACGTTTGGAGTGATGGCATCTGTCTTCGTAAGTTTTTAAGAGATCAGACACAAATTCTAAAACCAAGATAAATTAAAAAATGGGTATCAACTCAACCTCCCTTAAAAAAAGATAGATTAATAAAGCTTCATAATGTTACGGACTAAAGGGTTTAAAGTTGGGCACTTGAGCCTGACTCTCAAAGGTATTTAGACATTTAAAACCCCAAGAGTACAAATCATCAAATTTTTGACTTGTGATTCCTCCACCATTGGTATTGCCTTGTGGGTGGAGGAATCACAAGGAATATACTGCTGTCATGTGCTCTAGACTAAGAATATCCTCTCTGGCTCCAAAGAAGGACTGTGTAATTACTGAAGCCAGGGAAACAGCAGTAACCATAAAGCTAGACACGTGCCAAATCCAAGTAACGGTGATCAACACTTCCAGAGAACTGGTCTCGGTGAATTGCAGCATTGGTGGCTTTATCACTCAGCTAAAGTGACAATTCACAGTGCCCATGGAAATAAGTATATTTAATGAAGAATGCTACAGTACTGATTTCACTCTTGATTCAGGAAAAACAAATATTTATTTGAAACTATGCCTGTGCATTAGTACCAAAGACCAACTATTTTTTTTTTTTTTAAACTGAATTAAACAGTACTAAAAAGACATGTAGGCAAGGTTCTAGGATCTCTAGTGCATGCTCTACAGTAAAATCCTTGACCAGCTAATGACTTAAGTAGGCTCCCTGCGAGAATGTCACTTATAAAGAAACTTTTTACCTCTACTTCACTGGTTCAGGAGCATAGCCTCCTCTTTCACCAAATTCATGACTGAATAAATGGGGGTTTTTTGCAGTGTGCTCTTGAGGTTGCAACACTATTTTGGTTATGCTTAAGGGCCTTCTTGCAGCTAAGTATATGCTGAATAAAGATGATTTAGGAAGAAGTACTATATTCTTTAAAGACAGTGTTTTGTCATTTTTTTAAAGTTAAATTCTTCTGGATGTTACACTC